TGATTTAATAGATTTAAATATATAGGATTTTGATGTAATTTTAGGGGTGGATTGTTTGCCAAAGTGTTGTGCTACAATTGATTGTCTTGGAAAGAAGGTGACTTTTCAACCACCTAATGAACAACCATTCGAATTTCGGCCGATAGTAAAGTAAAGTCTCGTTTCCACCATTTTGATAATGAAAGCATGGAAGATGGTGATTGGTGGTTGTATTGGATACTTGGTCAATGTTGAAGATACTAATAAAGAGCTTATTGAATAATGATTGTTATTGAGCTAGAACTAGGATTAGATCTAGTGAACCAATGATGCTTGATTATATGTGCATGATATTGATAAGTGATTAGGTTTGTGATTGTGGGATTAAACCTAAATTATTTGAATTGATGTATGAGGTGACTCAATCTTTAGAGGAGGTGATGGAATTGAGAGATATAATTAAGAATTATGAGTTATTAATTGGTGGAAATATTTTGAGGATTAATTTAGTGGATTTGAGTATATGGGATTTTGATGTAATTTTAGGGGTGGATTGTTTGCCAAAGTGTTGTGATACAATTGATTATCTTGGAAAGAAAGTGACTTTTCAACCACCTAATGAATAACCATTCGAATTTCGAGTCGATAGTAAAGTCTGTTTCCGCCATTTTGATAATGAAAGCATGAAAGATGGTGATTGGTGGTTGTATTGGATACTTGGCCAATGTTGAAGATACTAAGAAAGAGCTTAAAGTGGAAACCAAAAATATTGAAGTGGGGAAGGAATTTCTTGATATTTTTCTCCCAAGTTTGTCAAGTTTGCCACGAAAAAGAAATGTAGTTTGAGATAGAGCTCGAGCCCGGAACTATTTTGATTTATAATTAAGGCTCCTTACTGAATAGCACCCACAAAATTAAAATAGTTCAAGGTGAAATTTCAAGAGTTATTAAATAAAGGGTTTATCATTCCTAGTTGTTTACCTTGAAGAGCTCTAATGTTATTTGTGAAGAAGGATGAGATCTTGATGTTGTGTATCGACTATAGGAGTTTAAATTGAGTTACTATTAAGAATAAGTATCTGCTTCCATGAATTGATGATTTGTATGATTAGCTAAAAATGGTTTTTAGTCTTCTTTAAGATTGATTTGCATTCAAGGTACTATTAGTTGGGGATTAAAGAGGATGATGTAAAGAAGACAATAATCGGGACCAAATATAGACATTATGAGTTTTTGGTGATGCATTTGGTTCGACCAATGCTTCCCCAATTTTCATGGACTTGATGATTAGAGTATTCTATGAATACTTTGATAAGTGCTTCATTATTGTTTTCACTTATGGCATTTTGATCTATTCTAAGAGTAAATAAGAGCATGTAAAGAATTTAGGGATAGTTTTACAAACTTTGAGATAGCACAAATTGTATGTAAACTTCGGAAAGTTTTTTTTTTTTTTTGCTAGAACAAGTGTCTTTTCTTGGTCACGTGATTATGAAAGATGGGATAAGGATAGACCAAGTAACATTAAGGTGGTTCAGAATTTGTGACAATTTAGAAATGTGTTGGAGGTTTAGAGCTTCTTAGGAATAGTTGGGTACTATCAGGTGTTTGTAGAGGGCTTTTCAAAGTTGGTTGCTCCATTGATGAACCTAACTAAGAAAAGTGTTAGACTTATGTCATAATCCAAATTTTGGTTTATATTTATTTTTAGTATGATTTTATTCATTTTATTTACATTTTATTTTATATTACATTTTATATTTATGTTAGTCAATTTTACAAGTTTAATGTTTTATCTTTTATTTTTTGTAAAAAAAAAAAAAAGAAAGAAAGAAAAAAGGAAAATAAAAAAAATTAGTTGCATAATTAATCTTTTTTAGAAAACGGAATATATATATATAAAGACAGAAAAAATGATTAAAAAAAAATCTTGCATGAAATGATTAAATAGGGGTATAATTAAAGAAAATAAGGACTAAAATTGAAAACAATAAGATTAGAAATTGAAAATCAATTAGGGACAAAATTGAATCTTTTTTTTTAAATGATAAAGTTATGTTGAGTTATATTGATGTTTTGTTTTTTTTTAGATGAGCATGGAGGTGATAAATCATCTGTTGTATATCGAGTGAATGAAAACAATGTATTTTATATTTGATTTTTTTTTTTTTATTTAGAAGATGAAGTAGATACAATTTGTATGCATTTGAAAAGAGTTTTGGTGTGAGGAAGGGGAAAAAATCTTATACTAAAAGTTGTGAATTGATTTGTCAAGAATTGAATTATTCGTGTGGAGGGAGTTCTTTACCTAGTGAGGAAAGAAATAGAGAAAGATTAGAGTATTGATGTGTGTGTAAAGTTAGAATCATTTTCAAAGTGACTATGAGATATGATAGATAACTTCATTTGATGATAACATAATTATGAAATAGTTAAAGAATTACATAAACACTTTATATCCTCATCTAAAAAGGTATTAGAGTCTAATAAAAATATTTTTGGGTCTATGGTATGTAGATGCTGGTATAAAAGCTACAAAAGCTTTTAGGTATATTGTGAATAAGAGTAGCAATGCCCAAAGTGTAATCTTTATGAAACAGGATTGTCAAAATTTTATACAAAAACATAAAAAAAAATTGATTAGTCTTAAACCATTTAAAAAGATCTTAGTTAATATATATATATATATCCAACCAAACGATGGTAGTCGAATAATGAATTTTTTTTTTTTTGGAGGGATCATTATGTCTAGATTGCATTACGAAATTTATGGAGATGTTTTGATTTGTTACATCACATATGACACAAATAAATAAAATTTAATTTGTGCACCATTTGTAGATGATTAATAAGTTTGATCTACATGAAAATAAATTGCTTAACACTTTGTATGAATTGAGAGAGATGTGATCCCTTGTATTTAATCATGATTATTTTTCCTGATAGCTGTAAGTTAACTCAAAGAAGCAAAAGCACTAATTTTAATTGTTTTCAATCAAAACAATGACATTGTTTGACTTTGTTAGTCATTATAAACACAAAATACGGAAAATGCATATCTTGAACTTCAAAATGATTTCAAGAGTAGTAGCAGAATTAAATCTTTGATACCAAATTGTGGAATCTTGAAGCATGCATGCATGCATTCAAAATTTATACTCTAGCTACGTTTTTCAAATTTCAAAGTGAATTTCTCCTGGCTAGGATTTTCTCACGTACTACAAAGGCAAAATTATCATTTATTACCAGATTCAAATAAAATAAAAGACTAAAAATATGTTGTCTTGAATTTTTAAAAGGTAAAACTTTAGTTCAACATAAACAATGACATGTTTCGTAATTTTTTTTTTTTTTTAAGATTACATGGACATAAAAAAACCAATGATAATTTTTATTTTTTTTATAAAAAAAATAAATTAAGGAATTAGATTAAATTCTTACCAAGAAATAAACATAAATACAATACAACAGGTCTTTTTACAAAGCTTTCATGATTCAGATGAGCTTCTTCAAATTGATCAAGTTTATGGTGGAAAATTCATTTGGAATGTTATAGAGTTTTTGGGTCAAAGGCCGGGTTTCAATTTTTTCAAGCACAAAGAAACCCTGGTCCTACTTATTTTTTAATTAGTAGTCGAGGTAAGCCTATTTTAGTAAGTCCATGCAAGCAAATATTTTTAATGACATGACAGCTGAGTTTTGTGGGATGGAGAGTAACTTATATGATGCCAAAAGTTACTCTCGGAGTAAAATAGAATTTTTCAAATTTTATACCTATAATTATACATATACTAAAACAAATTATGATTTCATTGTAGTTAAACTCATGTTATAGTGAATAAAACAATGTTGGTTTATATTTTTGTGACTTGAAACGAAGCTATTTTACAGAAAATAAAAAATAAAAAAGTGATTTTTTTGGACATTTGTACACTTTTTTACACTTTGGTCTTTTGAGCTCTAATTTTATACAAAACCATCTCTAACTTTAATTTTTTTTACAATAGGGTTCCGCTGATTTTACGACTAGTTATGCTTCCAACCCAAGCACATGGGATTGGTCATCTCCAGGCCCATATCACAAGGGTCTAGTTTGAGCCCAACCTCTTTTCTTTTTTCTTTTTTATTATTTACTCAAAATAATTTATTATTTTCATAATTAATGGTTACATTTTTATTTTTCTATAAGTTCATTAAAAAAAATTAAACCCTCTTATAATATAAATTGATTTAACACCTTCTTCTAATTTTATTTTTTAATAATTAATTAATTGCATTTTTTTTATCAAAATCAAAAATATTTTTAAGATATATTTAAACTCATTATAGAAAATATATATTTTATTAAATTATATACAATACATATTAAATTAAATTAATTTTTATAATTAGTGTTAATTAATTTTTATTTTACACCAAAAATTTTTAATTTTTTAAAATATTAAAACATACTTTATAGATTTATTTGTGACGACATGCAGGTATTATGATAATAATTAACATAAACCTCATGGTTTTTTTTGGTGCAATATAAATTTATCTTATACTTAAGAAACAAACTCATGCTTTTTTATTGCAATATACATATACAAAGTAAGTAGCTACTCTTAATTATAAAATAAATAAACCAACCATGTGTAATTAGCATGTAATACTTTGAGTAAATTGGTTTAAACCATCATCAATGCGGTGGATTTCTTTGCTAACTAATTAAGGACGAGAAATTTGCACGCTCAAATTTTCTTCCTCTCAAATTATCAAATTGTCAAGATATAATACACGAAAAAGGAAAGAACAACCGTTTTTAAGAGTAAAATGTGTATTCGAATTACAAATAGTAACAAAGAAAAAAAGGAAACAAGAGTTGGCCAAGACAACAACAATAAGTAGGGGATGCCTAGTTTGTGTAGCCCAAACCAATGGGCTTTACAACGAAACAATAAGGAAAAACAACATTCAACCAAAGTATAACATAATTAAGATGCATGTAAAGCTTATTAAAGACTAAGAGAAATGGCTAATCAAAGCTTAAGTGATAACTCAAGTCCTTTGTCCTCTTCCTTCTCCTTCTGAGAAATGATAGATCTCTCATGGTTGCCATTAGGAACGATGCTAGTCACATATTGGAACCCTCCATTTTGCACTTGGTGCAATCTTGATTGATGGTTCATAATAGGAGCCCTTGATGGCCCCGCATGATGCCCAATACCACTACGGAACCAAGGGCTATAGGGTTTATGAATCATAGAATTCATATCAACCCCTAGGGTTTTGCCAAGAGATGGATAATGCATAGGAGACCTTATTGCCATGTCCCAAAATGGGTATGGCAAATAGTTCATATGCTCAGTCAGCAATTTGTCTCTCTTCTCTATGGCTCTCTCCCGTTTATGGGCATTTTGATGCCCTCCTAAAGCTTGTGAGGTGGAGAACTTGTTTTTGCAATACTTGCATTTGAACATTCTCTTACCTCCACTTGAACTTCCCTCAAAGAAATCCATCAAATTGAGATCGAGCTTATTTGATCTATTACTGTTCATATCTTCAGCAGCCCTGTTTTGCTCTATGGAAGACATGGTAAGAGTTCACAAGAAGGGTTTTAGGCTAGTGCAGTGAATTTGGGTGTGGCTTTGCAAGAGATGAGGGTGTGTGCTATATATTGAGGGAGAACTAATTTCATATCCTCCATGCATGGAAGGAAATCTCATATTGTATGTATCCATCAAGGAACAAAAATGGTAATAACCTAATGAATAGTTTTGACTTTTGACTTCTTGTGTCTTTGATGTTTAATTTTAATTTGAGGGTTTCCTTTTCTCTTTTCTTTATTGATTTTAAGATGTTCTTTTTCCCATTTCTAAGGCAATCATTTGAGGAGAAATTTTTAGATACAATATGAGTTATTCTCTCCTCTCTCTCTCTCATAAAATAGATTTTACTATGAAAATTATCTATGAATCTCGTATTTTTGTGAGAGAAAAGAGTAGAACTCTGGATGTACTCAACAATTCATGTGATAAGAAAATTGGTTCATTTTTGTTTTTGAGATACTAATTTGGCATTGATATATCATAATGAACTTTCCATTTTCATCCTAGTTAATTTTTTTCAAAATGAATTTATAAATTAATGTTAATATAAAAATTTTAATTTAATTACCAATTTCACATTAAATTCCTTCTTTTTTTTTTTTATCCCCTTCTAACCATCCATTATTTAAAAGTTAAAAGTTAAAAACATGATTTATTATTATTATTAGTAGTAGTAGTAGTTTTAAGGGTTTAGGAGAATAAATTAAGATGTTTTTCTATAAATAACTAAATACCATTGCAGTAAATGGTTAAAAATCAAAATGGGGCTATGAGAAATTCCAATTTTGATTCATATACAAGAAAATTAACATTTAGATTAAATTTATTATTATTATTGTAATATTAATAATTTTTTGGATAAAAGTGGTAATCGCACTTATTGATTAAGTTTTCTTGTTGGCTAAGATTATTTCTGGTCAATGAAGATTTTCCATTAGCGAAATCATAACTCTGTGGAACAGTAATTGTTAGAAGCGTCCATTTATATTAACTGACCCATCCAACTATGCTTGATTATCACAATTTATTTCCTAACATATATCAAATTTCGAAATTGAAGTTGTTGAACCATTCTATTTTTTTTTTAATCATAAAGTATTGAACCCTTTGGATTTCCTTTCTGACATATACTAGTAATTTTGTTCTATTGAAAATAAGTTAGTTTGAGTAAATCTAATACCCCTCCATAACTAAAACATTCTATTTGGAAATAATTTTAATTTCCAAATTAGTACTTTTACCTAATGAAATATTAATCACTTTCATTCCACACAACTACACATGGCATAAATAATTTATTATTATTTTTTTTAATTTGAATGAAATTAATAGTAATTCTTATTTCCTATCTCGAAAAATCAGGAAATTTTGTTAGAAATTTAGATGAAGTTTCTTTTCTTTTCTTTTTCCCCTTTCTTTTGATAGAAATTTAGATAAGTTTCAAATTCATAATAAACTACAATATGATGACATATTAGTTTTGGGTATTTAAGATGTAATTATCCTTAGTTTTAAAAATGGTCAACTTGCCATAAAAGGACTGTCCAAATTATATATTTTTAAATCATTGATATCTAATGGACCTTCCATACTATTTTTTTTTTTTAATGAGATTATTCCCGGACTGAAAAAGAAAAACATTTGTTAACTTGCCATACACATAATTTCACCACTAACCCCAAAGTAGGGGGCGTGTATACTGAGATCATTAATTCATAGAGTAAATTATAGATTAATCCCTCTCATTTAGAGAAAAAGATTAATTATTTTTTTCCATTCTAAAAATGAATCATTTAGTCTTTATATTTTTATATCTACTTGTAACATAGTTTTTTTTTAATTTATTTTGATTTTTATTTTTATTTTAAGAAATAGACAAAGGACAAGAATATAAAGAAGTATAGAAAAATTGATGAAAAAAAAAAGAAATTTTATAAAATAAAAATAATATTAAATTAAACATGATCAACACTAATTAAATAACTAAATAATAATTTTTGAAGCAAAAAAAAAAACTAATCAATTTGTTTCTTAAAACTAGAGGGACTAATTTATAAAAATTTTAGTCTTATATATCTTGCATGCTAAGCTATTAAGGGTTTTTCTTGAACAAAAATGAATTCAAATTTTTTTATACAACTTTAAATATTTAAGGACTATTGTCATATTAACTATGATATGTTGTATCGGTAGAAAATTTAGGGACTCGTTTGAAATTTGGTATTAGAGTTTTGGACTAAAAATTGAATAAGGAAAAAAAAAAAGATTAAAAGACAAAACTAAGATTTGTTATGGTAACAATAGTAGAATTGAAGAGACATATTATAGAAAAATGAATTCACTATAAGATAAAATGAATAGAAAACATAACAATTCTAAATAATCTCTCAATCTCTACAATATACTCGTATCTCAACTAATAAACAATCAAGCCTATTTATGGGCTTCAAAATCAAAGAGAGAATTAGAAGGGACTATAAACTATTAAAACATGCATGAGTTGCATCACCATTTACCATTTCAATTACTCATACTGAATGGTGAATTGAATCACATTAAGAATAATGGGTACCGAGAATATGAAATGGTCATAGACATTCATTATTTTATAACACTCTCCCTTGAATGTCCATCGTATAAGGAACATGTCTCGTTAAAACCTTACTAGGAAAAAACCCAATGGAAAAAAATCCTAATGAAGGAAAAAGAGTATAATATTTACGGTATACATTAATCTCAATGTTGGCCTTTGGCCTCCCCCATTGAAAGCATCATTTGAGATTTTTAAGATAATGTATTTCAATCTTGCGAATCATCTTCTCAAAAGTTGTGATAGGTAATGCCTTAGTAAATAAATTTGTTGGATTGTCACTTAATCGAATTCTTTCTTTAATGGAATTATGCAAGTAACATTATCTTTATATGATATTGTTGGAGCTTTTTTTATTGGTAGATAAACTGCATGTCTCTTGAATATGATAGATCATTGATATTAGCCAAACTCAATCTCGATTTGCCTTATGAATTGGTATTTTTGCATAATTTGAATATTTAGTCGTTGTTTTTTGCTTCATAGAACGTTATGATATAGTTGTATCACCAAATGTAAATACATAACCCGTTTGTGACCAAGTTTTGTATAGATCGGATAAATAACCTACATCCGCACAAACAATTAAACTCGACTTTGATTTATTTGAGTAAAATAAATACCATATCAAATTTTTCTCGAAGATAACATAGGAAATGGTTAACTCCATTCCAATCTCCATATTGTAGTAGAACTATGACTTGCTAATAAATTTATAGAAAATACTATATTAGGTCAAGTATTATTAGTAAGATATATCAATACACCGAGTGGTAGTAAGGTATAGTATTTCGGGACCAAGTAATTCTTTGTTATCTTCTTGAGGTCAAAAAAGAGTCTTTTTGAATATCAAGTGAACGAATTACCATTGGGCTAGTCAATGAATGATCTTTATATAGAATAATTATAGAACTTGTTTTTATATATAAATTGACTAATGAATAAAATGAATAAAAATATCATTCTCTAAATGCTCGAACCGTAGGTCGAGATAAAATTTTGTTTCCCAAGGTATTCACATCAAATTCTCCTTTTAGCAAACTTATAGCATTTGGAATCTTTTCAGGAGTTCCAATAATGTTTAAATCATCATCATATATAGCAATTATCACAAACCTCTTTTTGAATTTTTTAATAAAAATACATAACTAAATATGGTTATTTTTCATAACATTCTTTCATAAATATTTATTTAAATAATTATACCACATGCACATAGGTTAGCAATAAAGAGTAGATATTAAAAATAAATAAATAAATGTAAAAAGTATAGCATAAATTGAATTTCTAAAAATTAAAATAATAAAACTAATACTAAAATAATTTTGATAAAGATCTATATAATTTAATTAAATTTATTTCTCGAGAATATGTATTACATGCTTCGGGCGTCCTAAGTCCTTCTAGGACTTTCATATAGACATCATTTCAAATGAATAAATAAATTATGATCACATTTATCAAATGCATGCATATGAAATTTTTTCATATATTTTGCCCGACTAATAAGATAATAAAATATAATTGCATCCATTATAGGAGAATATGTCTCCTTATAGTTAATGTCAGTTCTTTGTAAAAACTCTTGTGTTAAAATTTTTGCTTTGTATCTTACAACCTCATCTTTTTTATTTCGTTTTCATATAAATACATTTTTGTATCCCACTAGCTTAACATCTTCAAATGTTTTAGCTATGGGTTCAAAAAACTACTCTTTTGTAAACGAACATAATTGTGTCCGGATTTAGCTATGGGTTCAAAAAACTACTCTTTTTATTTAGGCTAATCATCTTTATATCGATATTCTTCAATAAATTTTAGCTTAAGATCCTTATTTTCATTCAAAATATCAATTGCAACATTATATGTAAAAATCTTATCAATAAATATTTCTTTTCGATCTTATTTTCTCCTTGCATTAACATAATTTATCAAAATCTCTTGATTTTTTCCAAGCATTTGGACTTCTTCGAAAGCCTATTATCATCAATATTTTGGACCATTTTGTGAATATTTACATCCTTTATATTTTCATCTTGCCCTTTTCTTTTAGAGATTTTTATCTTTAGAACCGATTGGTCTTCCATACTTCGGACGTGCTTTAGATTCATTAGCTATAACATTAATAGATCGTCCTTCTAGGATATCAATTCGGATAGGAGCATTCTCGGTGGTGACATGCATTTTAGTTACTCATTCAAAATGCGAGAATGCATTTGGCGATTGGTTTGCAATACCTTATAAATGAATTATTTTTTGAACTTCTAGTTCATATTGTTTTGTATGAGGATTAAGATGATATAAGATAGAGCATTTGTATAGAAGAAATCTAATGGTTGAAATAATTGATTAAGTCTTTTGGTAGATACATATCTCATGGTCTATTGCCTCGATT